AATATAGAGTGAAGCCGCAGCTCAGCAATAGGGTGCTCATCTAACATGCCCGGAGCACTAGCTCTGGCCAAGTCAAAAGGACTGCACATTTGAGGCCAGCCAAGACTACATGAGACCCTTCCTCAAAAAACAAACAAAAACCCAAACCACTCACAGGTAGGAAAAAGAATAAAGACAATATTGTAGTAAGGATGAAGGAGTGAAACAGCTGTAGCTAGGGAGTGCCACCGAGAGGGGAGGGTTTTCTGATCGTTCAGGTTTGTGGGAATAAGCTGGCAGACGTTCATCCAAGATGTTGTGGAAGTGGGGAAGCTGCTTAACAGTACTGTGTCTAATGTCTCCTTTTTCGGTCTCTGGAAGACCATGAACAGCCTAGAGCGCACAGAAGTCTTTGAAGGCCAGCACTGTGGAGTACAGGGACTTTGGTAGGGACTCTATCTACTAAAGCTAAATAATGCATCCTGCCAGCATCTGCTTCTTTAGTCCTTGGAGCCAATGGAGCTACCTCATGTGACAAGGACTTTCCAGATGTGTTTACGGACTCTGACTCAGGGAGTCACAGATTATACCAGTGGCACAGGGTGGCAGAAGCAAGGGGATCTCTATTTTTGACTAGTTTGAGACTAGCCTGATCTATAAGTCTGAAGCTAGCAAGAGCCACTCAGCTCTACAGATACAGCTACTGACTGCTTCAAAAAAAAAACAGCAACAAAACTGTGAGGGGAGCTTGGAGTTGGCAAAACACAGAAGAGGAGACATCGTAGAGGCAGATACTGGAGTGGTGTGGTGTGGTCATGACGAGGGCTCAGGAATGTTGCTGCCACCAGGAGCTGGAGAAGGCAAAGGAGACTAGACTTTCTGGCAGGACCCTGCTAATACCCATTTGGCCCAGTGACACTGATGCTGACATCTGGCCTGCAGAACTGCAGAAGAGCACACACTTTTGTTAGGGCTCACATAGTCCAGGTTGACCTCAAAGTTCCCATGTAGCCAGGGATGGCCATGAATTCCCATTGCTCCTTCTACCTCTGTCTCCCAAGTGAAGATACAGATGTATACCACCACACCCACTTCAACTCTATTGTTTTAAGCAGCACAATTTATGATGCTTTGTTAAGACAGCCGTAAGAAATTCACAGGGGTCCAATCCAGTGTTTCCAAAATATATAAAAGCCTGTACTGGCTTAGCTCCAGTGACAGTTAGTCTGTGACTGTAATGACAAAGAGTAGCTAAGCAGAAAATATCATGTAAAATCCATTCATTCTTGGGCTGGAGAGATGGCTTACTGGTTTTTTGTTTTGTTTTGTTTGGTTTGGTTTTTCGAGACAGGGTTTCTCTGTGTAGCCCTGGCTGTCCTGGAACTCACTCTGTAGACCAGGCTGGCCTCGAACTCAGAAATCCGCCTGCCTCTGCCTCCCAAGTGCTGGGATTAAAGGCGTGTGCCACCACTGCCCTGCTGGCTTACTGGTTTAAAGCACTTGCTGCTCTTCCAGAGGACCAGATTCAATTCCCAGCAACCACACAGTGGCTCAAAACTATCTGTAATTCCAGTCCCTGGGGATCTAACACCCTTTTCTTACCATGATGGGCTCTAGGCACGCACCTAGTGCACAGATATGTATGCGAGCTAAACACCTGCATACATATTTGAATGTTTTTATTTAAATAAAAACATTTAAAAATCAAGACAAGTACTATAATACCCATTTTGCAAAAAAGTATACAACTTACGCATCAGACCGGAAGTGAGAGAACCAGGATAAAGAACTAATAATTCACTTGGCTCCTTCATATTGTACTACCTTGCTTTATTATTATACCTTTAATCCTCACACATGCTCTAAAGCACACTGGGCTCCATCCACACAGAGACTAAATACGTGACTTGTTCACACTGCATCTGGTGAGCAGTAAATATTTGTTAAATGAAAAAAAAATGGAACAGATAAAGCATAAAAAAGTAAGTGCCGGGTGGTGGTGGCACACACCTTTAATCCCAGCACTTGGGAGGCAGAGGCAGGCGGATTTCTGAGTTCGAGGCCAGCCTGGTCTACAGAGTGAGTTCCAGGACAGCCAGGGCTACACAGAGAAACCCTGTCTCAAAAAAACCAAAAAAAAAAAAAAAAAGAAAAGAAAGCAATATCGCCGAGAGATCACAGTGCGACTGCAAGACAGGGCCAGGTCCCCAGTCAAAATCCTTTATACTGTGAGCTGACTTGAGAATCAACAGCAAACCAGGCATAATGGCTCACGCTTGTAATCCCAGCAGTTGGGAAGCTAAGGAATTAAAAGCACCATGACGTAAAAAGCTTGAACTATCCAGTAAGTTCCATGCTAGCCTGGGCTATATACCAAGAGCTTCTCAAAAAACAAAACAAAACAGCCAGCACAATAGTGTGTGTGTGACTTTTTAGCAGGTATGAGTAGGGGAGTGGGGAGTGGGGACTAACCTATAGATGAAAGGACAAGAGAAGAGAGAAGCGTGCGTGCGTGCGTGCGTGCGTGCGTGCGTGCGTGCGAGCGCAGGGACCAAAGCTGGTGAAGGTAAACCTAAAAAGTCAGAACTGGAAATGGTGAACTTAGAGTCTTCAGGAAAAAGATGAAGGATGTGACATGAAGATGGCATGTAAGGTATCACCAGATGAAGAGCAGTCTGAACGAGACCAAAGCAAGCTGTATTCAGGGCAATAGAGATATCCCCTGAGTATCCTGCCATCAGTCTCAGGGGCATATGGGCATATGCCAAGGGCAGCTTTGCCGATTAACTGCAGCAGAGTAAGTGGTTCCATGTGGTGAGGGACTTTGAGCCAAATCAACAAAGAGCCAAATTCTCCTACAGCCCTGGCTGGACACCCAGACTGGAAATGAGAAACTCAAGAATAATAAGACTGTGGTGGGGGTGGGGACACTGAAGGGGAGACGCACCACAGACTCTGATAGTTCTCTGTCAGCACAGTCCCTTTGTTCCTTCGTCCTTTCTTGGGAAACTAAAAAGGTTTTCCAGATACCCAGTTTAGAAGCCAGACCAAAGGCTCTTCAGGGCGTAGAAACACGGGTGAGGAAAAAGTACATTTCTCTTACAAGCTGACGAGTGCTTGTAAGTTTCCGAGAGGAACTCTTCAGACACAGGGTAGCTACTTCTGTCTACTACTACACCCTAGGCAAAATGTTTCCCTCAGAACTGAGGTAAAAAGAGCTGGCCATATGTACCGTGTAGTCTTGTTAAACCTTGTTAACCCTAACCCACCTGGAAAGTAACTCTGTTGACTCTGTTGACTCACTAGTTTCAGAAGTACACCCATTTGTATACCCCAGCACCATACAGAATCCTAGCCTGGCTGGAATTCAAACTGGTTGGAGAGTGAAGGGAAGGCAATGGTAAAGGAGCCATCAGACTTATAGCAGAGAGCATTTAACTTCACTGAATCCAGTTTACAAAGATACAAACATTTAAGAGTAGAAGAACATGAAATGTGTTCTCAAGGAAGAAATAACCAGAAAACCAGAGCTAGCAATCATTTCCAGTGCCCACTCTGTTGCCAGTGGCAGAAGAATCTTTTTTTTTTTTTTTTGGTTTTTCGAGGCAGGGTTTCTCTGTGTAGCCCTGGCTGTCCTGGAACTCACTCTGTAGACCAGGCTGGCCTCGAACTCAGAAATCTGCCTGCCTCTGCCTCCCAAGTGCTGGGATTAAAAGCGTGTGTCACCACCGCTCGACTTTTTTCACTTTTTTTTTTTTTTTTTTTGGCAGAATCTTAATTAACCCAGAGCACAACCCTTGAAGAAACTGTTGCTCAGTGAAGTCATGAGACCCTTTGTCCAAAGACAGAGCCAGGACTGACAGGCCTCTGAAGCCTGTCTGCTCTTTTCACTGAAGCTTCCAAAAGAAAGCAAAGAGTGGGGTGGAAGGAGGGCAACGGGGATGGGGGTGGGGTGGGCTGTGCAACTTTTCTCCTATTAAAACAGAAAGGATGCAGTTGCTTTTAGACCCAGGAAGACCCGACCAAGGAAACAGAAGTGATGTGTTGGAAATTCCAGACTTAAAGTCTGAGTCACACACCCTTCACTGTGTGTTCCTAGTCGTTTAAACCATGAATTTGGAGCCAGGATTCTGACAGGAAATTGGTTAACATTGCCTAAACAAAAACAACAAAGAAAATCCTCACATCCCTCTTCCCAGAAATTAGGCATCTTTAAGCTGGCAATTGCTAAGCAAAATAAGGTTGTTGCCTGGCTCGTTTCCACAGAATTTAGCATTGAGTGAGCCAGGGCCTGAGATTTATCCTCAGTTCCTGGGCAGAGGCCAGGAACACAGCGCCAGACAGACAGAGGCCTGAGCTGTGAGGCTCCAACCTAAGACACTAAAGCGAGGCACCAAGTCACAGGAAGCTGGCACGGCCTCAATGGTGTGGGTCCGGATTCAAAGGAACAATTATTGTGAGTGACTTTTGAAAGCACTCCTAATTCTCCAGCAGATCTGAAGTCGTGATGGAAATTTCATGGCGGGGGGGCTGGGGTAGATAAGTATGTGAAGAACTAAAAAGTCGGGGTTCAGAAGATGAAGTACAGGGGTTCAGGAGATGGAGTACAGGAATTGCTGAGATCAAAGAGAGAAGACCGTGAACGGTAGGTATGAGAAATGCCCTGGATCTGAGATAAAGGAGAGGACCCCACACAATAGGGCCGGTTCTCAAAGGGTGAAGAACATTAAAATATTAAGCCTACAGGAGTTCTGCTGCTGACAGAGAAAAAGTTGGGAAGAAAAGAGAATTGCATCTGAAAAAAGGAGTCCCTGGAGAATGCATTAATAACTCCGTGTGTGTGTGTGTGTGTACACGCGTGCGCGCGCACACGCTTGTGTGTGTGTCCAGAAGGAAACTCCCCAAAAGGAAATGCATGCGAAGGGTGGACGCCAAGCGGAGCCACTGTGAGGACGGTGGGAACTGTGGGAGCCTGGCATGCCTGGAGGGTGACCCGCAGGAGGCCAGTCCCCGACACTTACCTCGACCGTAGCCCTGCGTGTGCTTGGCGAAGCTCCGCACCACCGCCTCCACCGCCTCGCGCAGCACCGCAGGGCTCCCCGCGGCGCCGGGGAGCAGGGGCAGCCCGGGGGCCCCAGCCAGAAGCAACGGAGGCGGGGGCGGGGCGGGGGGCGGCGGGGCGGGCGGCGGGCCCGCGGGGGGTGTGGCGGCGCTAGTCGGGGCCCCGGTCACCCCCGGCCGCAGCGCTCGCAAAGTGCCTCTCCCGCCGACACCTACGCCTGGCTGCAGCCGCTGTGCTCGTATCGTCTCCATCCCGGCGGCCGGCGGAGCTGGGCCCCGGAGCCTGCCAGCCTGGCGAGCTAACGGTCCCAGCCACCCCAGTGAGCAAGAGCCGGGGGATTGAGGGCGGTGCCGGGATCCAGCTGTCAGTCAAGAGTGGGCGGGACGAGCCAGATGCCATGCCAATCACTGGTGGAGAGGGAGGAAAGGGGTGGGCCCCTGAGCCACCTTAGGCAAATGATTGAGGAAGACGGACGCTGCGGGAACCAATTGAAAAAAGAAAAGGCTAAGTCGTGTAAGAGGGGAGAGCTTCGGAGCATCTTTGGGAATCCTGTGGTAAGCGCTAGAAATCCGGCCAGACCCCTGGGGCGGGGCTTGAAGGAAAAATAGGCCTGGATGCAATGCTGGGTAGAATTGTAGCTGGAGAGGATTCTTAAGGACCATTTGATCACTTTACTTTCTAGATAGAGATGCGGTTCAGAGAAGTGATGTGACTTGTCTCTAAGTTCATACTCAATTGGTGGTGGAGTGAAAATGGAGTATGAGGCTGACTTCAATGAGAACATGCTATGTAGTATACTTCAGTCCACTGCCTTACTTAATGACTGCAAGCACAAACCAGATTTTATTTACGAACAAGAAAAGTGATGCACAGGAAGATTAGATACACTGCCCCAAATCAAATGACTAGATGGCAAGGGAGATTCAGACATTGTTCTGATCCAAATGTTCCCTCCCCCTTTTTTTTTAACTAGTCTACATTCAGGAATGGTTTTCTGATTTCAGTTATCCACTAAGAGAGTCAGAGAGCTTAGAATGTGTTTATCACTGTACAGAAAGAATGAACTAGAATACATGCAGAAACCTATCAAACCGAGAAATTCAGGACATAGATGGAAGGGGTACTTCGTCCAGGTAAGGCTGGGTTCCAACAGTTGTCCCCAGCAGACATCCATGCACATGCTGTAACGCCCCTTTGTTGACTGACCATCACTCCTTTTGCCCCTTAGGTGAAGTTACTAGCCCCACTCCCTCTCCTAGGGTGTCTAAGAGACCTGGGACAATGGAGGTGAGAAGAAAATAAATGAGGCACACCTGGTGAAATGAAATTAGACCCTGTATTTAAAACAACAACAACAACAACAAAACCTGTGTGGTCAAGACATAGGAAGTCACATCTGCTTATGGAGAACGAGGGAGGGGGCCACTCTGAAAGAATCTTACATCATTAAGGGTCAGGCACGGGGAAGCTAGGGGAAGACTACCAAATGCCTTCAAACCTTTAGAACACTGGGCTCATTTGCCTTTTCTTCTGCAACCACTAGTGGTCAGTTGGTGTCTTGAAGAAGGTAGCTGCAACCTCTAGATTCGCTCCCTGAGTAGTTGTGACTGTTAAGTGTCACCCTCCCGTCCCCTCTCTCTGTACCCCCAGCCCACACCTTCCGGCAGCAGTGACGAAACAGACTTCTGAACACATTTATTTGACATGTCAAGTGGTAAGAGGACTGACTTAGGCTTGCTCCCCACTTCTGCCTGTGCGGGGTGTTCATAAGCTCAGACACACAGAAGAGCAACTTTGAGCCCATGACCTACCCCCTGGGGTAAACAAGACAATCTGTAGTGGTGTGTGTGTGTGTGTTGGGGGGTGGGGCACAGGGAGGGAATAAAAAGCAGGAAATTGAGAAGTGGAGGGCATGAAAGGCAGCAACAGAACTGAGATTGGGAGCTGCTTCAGGAACGCCAAGAATAGTGAGGAAGACATCCTGAAAAGCGGGTGGAAGCAGGGTGTGAGCACGGAGCCAGGCATGAAGAAGCAAGGCCTGAAGAACGGGGTGAGATATTCGGGAAGAGAGAGTGGACTATGCGAAGGTACGATAGGCCACGCTGCAGGGCGTACATGGAAAGCAAGGGATCGCTTCTTCAGGAGGGCAAAGATACAGGAGGCCAGCCATGAGGGGGCTTCCTGCTGGTTCTCAACAAACGTGTCTGGGACCCTAGCACAAGTGGTCCTCTGTTTGTTGGTGTGCTGTGCCTATGGGTTCCCAAGTAATCCCATGTACTTGTGAAATGACCAGGGCATGAATGCGTGGGTCTATACGCCCAGTAAACACAGTATTTATCCTTCCTCACTAGTAAGTGTACTGTGCTTGTGGACACATGCTTACCCATGTGTGCGTGCACAGTGCCAGGAGCACATGCAAGAGATCCCTTGTCCGAGGTATCAGCTGGTTCTCCCTCTATCAGGGTCCTGACCCTCCCCCTCCTTGGCGCCCCTCATTTCTTTCAGCGCCCTGGTTCCCCAGGCCCGCCTAGACTCTGGAAACCCCCTAGCAGGCGAATCTGTTCAGTCTGCATGGAATGGCGTCTCACCAGCTTGCGCTTGGTCCTGGGAGACCCTGGTGCCCCAGAGTGTGGAGGGGCAGGCAGTGAGGGTGCCCGACCTCCAGGTTGAGGACGAATGTCGGGGATGGGAGGGTGGGGACTGACGTTGAGAGGAGGCAAAAAACCAGGTCGCGTTTGCGAGATGTGGTCCAGGAGCAAGGTCCCGGAGCCCCTTCGCTCTAGCAGCCCTGGACTCCGCCTCCGTCCGCTCAGCGGGGATACAGCCCCGGGCAGACTTTCCTGGGACTGGCGTGGGGAGGAAACTGAGCCCGCTGGTGGGAGGGTCAGCGGAGAGGCGCTGTATCGCCGGCGCTCCAGGGATACGCGGCTGGACTCGGGAGAGTCAGGGCAAAAATGTCCAGGGGTGTCGAGCTCCACCGGCTCCATGCGGCTCAGTTTTTGCCTTAGCCCTGAAGGAAGACCAGACTCCTGAGCCTCGGGCGCAGTGTTTCGGCGCGAGAGAGGACCCACACCCGTCACTTTCTCCGCCCATGGGGGCGGGTCCTCCGGGCCTTCAGTGCTGTGACGCCGAGAAAGACGTGGTCTACCGGTCAGGGTCAAGCCGTTGAATTCAGCAGCCAGACGCTCCAAGCCCGGCCTCCCTTCCACAGGAGGGACCGGTTGAGGAGGAGCCACAAGGCCCCAGGGCTCGGAGTTGAGCCTTTTGAGTGGTTTTGGAGGATGTCGAGGTGGCTTGGGGAGAGGCTCGGAAGGGGAAGGGTCATCAGGGGGCTTAGGAAGAGGAAATTCAAAAATGTCTCTTTTCTCTTCTTCTTCCTGGGCACGAGGGGATAATAATCCGCGTCCTCCTCCTGCAGTCTGCAGTTGGACTTCTGAAGGCGACGTGCAGACCCCTGGACTAGGAGGAGCGGGTGTAGGGTCCTCTACCCCCGGGGACGGTGGGGAATTAAGATACTGCCTGGTCTTCTTGGTGCCCGAGGGCGAGGTATCCGTGGTTATGATGATGACCTCCGTGCCCTTGGCCTTGCAGGCGTCCAGCAGTGTGGCAAGGGTCTCGCGGTCCCCGCGGTCCAGGGCGTGAACAAGCGCCGAGGCGCCAGCGTGATCTCGGACTGAGGGGTCTGCGCCGTGGGCAAGGAGCAGAGAGGCCACTGCGGCTCCCCCACCCCCGGCGCAAGCATGCATGAGCGCGGTGCGTCCTAAACGGTCTGCGATGTTGGGATCCGCGCCTTGCTCCAAGAGATAGCGAACCATGCGCGCCTTGTTCTGAGGGTCGTCGTAACGGGCCCTACAGGCCGCCATTAGCGCAGTCTCCCCCTGGGCATCACCCTCATTCACGTAGGCTCCTCCCTCCAGAAGCAAACGGGCCAAGCGTAGCTTACCCTGTCCCACGGCCCGAAGAAGAGCGTGGCCCTCGGTGTGCAGCATAGCTGCGGCTCGGGCAAAAGCACCGATGGAGCTGGGACTGGGACCTGCCGAAGATATCTAGGAGTATGGGGGTGGTGGTTGGGAGAGGCCTGAGGTCTCTCGGTAGTGAAACCTATCCCTGTGAAAAAGAGAGAGAGGGAGCTCATTAACAGGCTCAGCAGGGAAACTGAGGCACTGATGAAGGCACCTGATGTATGACGGGGGGATGTAGGGGGGCTACAATGCACAGTCTTTCCTTTTGATTCCTGCCTTTGAGCCGTCCCATCCCCCCCCCCACCAGCGCATGCCAAAGGAGGTGGGAAGGGTGCACCACCCGCACTGAAGGATGAGAGCTCGTGCATATACGTACATGTACGCGCACAGATATTCCCACCCCCCTTCGCACCCCACGGCTTATCAGACCTTTCCAACATCCCCCTTTTCTTATCCACACTTGGAATACCCCTCTCTAGGATACTGAACGCCACCCACCCACACACATGCACCCGTACAGTCATACACATATTTCTATTCCTAACCTCTTTTAGATTGCCACATCCCAAAAAATTGAGGGGGGGGGGGGAGCATATTGCAATTGGGACCTAAAGGGGTGGAGGAAGAATTAGGGATTCTTTTGCCTTTGCTATGTTCCCCATTGCTTCTTGTTCTTCCCCCTCCCAGGCTGTACCCCCAAATAGATACCTGAATGTCCGCATAATCTCTGCCTGGCCAGGATTGAGGCCGGGGCCATGGGGGCCTCTGGGGTAGAGGAACCGGGTACCTGGGGGCCCACATGGCGTGGGGGGGTACCCGGATTCCCTTGGTGTCAGTATCTGCGCCCCAGCGCTGGATCCTGGTCCCTCCTCCCGGTGCGCCCCGGGCACAGCGCCGGCTCCGGAGGAGAGAAGAGGGGGGGTGGGGGCGGAGCTCTTCTGTGCTATTTATAGCCCAGTCTCTGCGGGTGGGGGCGTCCAGCACCAACCCGCTCCCCACCCCCATGCGCATACGTATAAACCTATAAACACTTAAGGAAGAAAAAAGCACCCAGCGCCTTCAATCTTGACTTCCCTTTCTTAACCCACCTCCCCAGCCCAAACAAACCTAAGTGCTCCTTAGGGGACTCTCCCACGACCCATTCAGGAACCATCCAGATTCTTCGTTGATCTTCAGCAGATCTCCATGAGCTCCGGTCTGCCAGACCTGACTGCCACACACGGCATATGGCACACTGTGCGGAGGGGCGTGGGGAGGCGGTTGGGATCTGCAGCGGCGTCCACACAGAGCTGAGAGGCAGGAGATGTGGCTCCCTTC